GTTCTTGCATGAGGCCCATTGTGCGTACGCAAGTTTTATAAATCCGAGCCCAGATCTCACCCGATCTCAGAAGCAATGCAGGGTCAGACCTCGTTAGTTCTTGGATGGGAGACCACTTGAGAATACCAGGTGCAGTAAAAACCAGTGTAGGAGTTATGCCCACATTGGAACAATAACAATAGAAGATCTTTGACTGTCATAGGTTGCCGTCTAGCAGGATGACAGGTAGTAAGTAGTAGTATATCAAGGAAATTACAGAGTGGTGAAAACTTCTGTGAAAGAACTGCAGCTTAGAACACAGAAAAAAAAATCATCTTCCTAAACTGTTCTTCAGGCCTCAAAAGGTTTATAAAACTGTATAAACTTAATTAATTTAAAAACTAAACCTAATCCAGCCCTCTAAAAGTGAAAATATCTGATCTAAATATTCAAACTTCGCTTCTTTTGGGAGAAATAAATCGTTTGGAGATCTGTCCACACCATTTCCAACCATTTCTTTCTCCATAAAGATATTTTCTGGATAAATAATTTTATGTCAGTCCTCATTTTTAAAACTACAAAGTTGTTTACAACATAAACAACTTGATCAGTTTCTTATAATCAGGGGCGGAGCCAGGGGGTGGCCAGGGATGGCCATGGCCACCACAGTCAAATCTTTGGCCACCCCACTGGCCACCCTGCTGTACACACCCCTTCCACAGTGAAACAGCCTTTAGGGGTGTAATAACCCTCCTGAACAGTTGGTGGCAGTGTTTAACAGTTTGAAACATCACCAAGCTCAAAGAAGTGACAAAATGTGATTGTTTTCTTTATGTTATGTTTGTTTGTTTTTTTTGTCATCATAACACATTGTCGTTTTCTGTTATGAAGGCTGCCTGATGCTCTTTCCCTTTTGGTTACGAGTAGATTTATGACTAAATCAGAAAAGTGAAACGCCCCTTTAAATTCACTGTTGGTGATTTTAAATATTGCACCTGAAGGATGAAGCATCTCTCAGGTCCTGTGTTTGAGCTTTGATGTAATGTTTGTTTTCTCTTCAAGTCAGATTTTGTTCATCTGCTGTAGGCAATTTGTCACGTCTGATGGGTTTTTTTGTCCACTTTCTCAGTTTGAAACACAAACTGTAAAATATAATTCTACAGTTGGGTGAAAGAAATAAACAAAAAATAAATGAAAAGCAGACAAAAACCTTCAGAGCTTTTGAATAACTTTAGATTACAGCAAATTCTGACTTCTTGGAACATAAGTAATTCTCAGTTAAGTAAGGGAAACCCATGTGTCCAGGATGGACAGTAACGTTGTGTGTCCACCATAAGCTTTCGGTTTGATTTTCTGATATATAATTCGATTTTTCTAACAACCTAATCATCTTTTGTTTCAGGGATGCTTCCGCTTCTCTCAAATATCAGCCTGTGTTCAGCATGATGCCCTGTTAGTACTGATTATACTGTTTGGAAGCAGGTCCACCCTGTTTTGGCCACATTACAGTTTTACAGGTCATCATTTGTGCCTGAGGCTCAGCACTCACTCAGATGTGGTTTGAGACCTGGCGTACTGTGACCATCCTACATGTCGCACACGCCCAGACACTGGACCAGGCTCAACTGTGTCTGTTAGCCTTAAAGAAAGGTCAAATCCAAACTAGGACAACCTGAAAAGTTGTGTCACTAAGTCTAAATGAGTCRAAATATTCATTATCCACACTTCAGTTTTCTTTTTTCAGTTTAAAGTGCAGTTTATATTTTGAAAAGACATATCTGCGCTTTGCTCTGCTTGGTCGTAAAACCAGAAATGACAGTTTAATTTCAGTTTTTGGGGTTCTTCCGACATGAAATTAGCTTAAAAAGGAAATAAAAGAGTTGGACCAAACGGTCAAGAAAAGCAGTCGGACTTAAATTAGACAGAAAAACATGGAGAGACCAGAGGAGGAGGGAAAGTGAATGTTTTTCTTTAGTAGAGTCAGAGTTGGTGCCTCACATCTGGGCCACAACCCCTCTGTATTATCTGAAATGGAGAAGTTGGACACAGTCAAAAACGGGGGGGGGGGCTTGGGGGTAAAGACGCTAATCTGTCTCAGGCAAACGATAGAAAACAGTTGAGTCGTCGTGGCAGCACACTTTAAAGAAGTTGGGGCTCACACACACACCGATGTGTGTGTGTGT